TTCCTCACGTAGCTGTTCATTAATGAGCATACTGTACTGCTTTTTTTAATTACAGCTATGGAGATCAATGTTTTTACACACTGAAATCAGTACCAAAGGTCCTGGGTTCGAATCCTGCGAGTAGCGGGAGTTGTGAATGCACACTGCTGGTGAATCCCATTCCAGGACGAAACGGTCATCTCTCAGTGCTTCCAGATTTCCAGTGATGGTCTAACAATGATTGATTGACGATTTCCATGTGTAACTGAAGGGACTGAACAGTTAATTCATTTATTTGGAACTAGTAACATGAATACCAATTGAAAAGTTTTGTCAAAAGATCAAGTCATCAGCAAAACTACCATTTATTCTTTTATTTTTAAAATACAAGTACAATTAATTGTCGTCTAAATATTGACAAAATAGAAATATTTAACATTTTAACATAAGAATATAATTAGTTTGAACTGTGAAATATTTATCATATTGAACAAGTATGAAGGTCACATAATAACATTTGAACCTTTATTTCTGCTTGTCACATCATAACAATCTCAAGATATATTTACAGATGATTTTTAAAAAAAAATAGGTTGATTGATTTTTAATCGATAGATAACCTAAGAAAATATTGAACATTGAAAACGCTCTAAACAAGTGTCACACTCGTCTCTAGGTATGCTTAAACTGATACAAGTTCACCTTAGTCGAATAACGAGAACAAAACAATGAACCAGAGTCCAGGTAGGCTACTGTGATCCCTTGACCAAAAGGTATCAGCAAGAAGTCTTGATATAGCGTAGAAAGTGTATTCTACAAACACCTAGCCAGTACACAATGAATGCAAGCACTCAAAGTGCGTTTATTTATACTATATAGAGATATCCTTGGGACATTCACAAAAATGGCACACTAAAATGACACGGTAAACAATCACAGCCAAGGATTTTCCTGGTGAGAAATGTGACCTCAAGGTCAACTGATCGGTCCACGAAATGAATCCAAAATAAAGATATTTATCAAGCGAGTTCTGGGGATCTAACATCCCCAACAAAAAGATTTCAGAAGAAGTACGCAAAGTATGAAAATAGACAAAGATTGACTGATCAATCAGACTTGAAGCGTTGAGTACCCATTTCGATATGGGATTTTCGGGGCGCGGAATATTCCAACAAGTTTCTTTTACAAAACGATTTGTAATTGGCAGTTGGAAGTAAGTAATTCAAGAACAATATCTGATTAACATTCATTCTTTTCACAACAGATTACCACCCATTACAATGTTTCTGATCGTAAACATTTTTCTCTATACACGCCTGAATAGATTATACGTTTGACTGAAGTGTTAAAACAAACAGAAAGCGATAACTTGTTGAACTATTCTACTGTTAGTAAACAGGTAACTCAACTATTCAAGCAAACCGCCTTGATACATTTTAGTCACACTCAAAACGGAAGTATTAAAAACTAGCAACTGATTGTAATCTTTATAAATAATAATTACTCTGAACAACTTGTAATTCACTGTCAGACATATATTTGTTCTATAGTTGCTCAGTATAATTACCTCAATCTACTGTAATTTAACACCCTGGATCAGAAAGGTAGGTCTGACACTTTTAATTGGTTATCATTATTACCATTATTATTACTAACATCCAAGTGTATCGATCCCTTTCTCCTCATAACTCTATTTCTTTCATACGTGTTATTGAGAAGAAATAAGAGACTGCCTATTGCTTGCATCGACCATCTTTTAGTAGTTTGCCTAAACGAATGAATGAACATCACAAAATGGTATGTCTGCCTATCATCTAATATCAATAGGAAATATTGAGTATGTGTGGGAGATGTTTGTTGTCTACGTCAATTTGTTAAACATTCCCATAGTTAAACTAACCAATCAATTCTTTGCATTGATAATATTTAACAAGTTTATAGTCTATCCATAAATTATTTGTGTACTTTTATATAAACATATATATGTGTACATATATCCTTTGCAATAAAATGGAATGCCAAAGCATGAGTAGTATAAAACACGAGCTCTAATTCTGCGCCTAAAATGCAATGAACCGCATGAATTTTCTATTAGTACACTTGTAAATTTTACATGTTACATATTTTCTAAAAAATTTATTTTATAAAGACACATATATCTATATATGTTCTGGAATTTATCCACAATTTACTTTTTCATCATATTTCTACTGACTATTACAACTTACTCATCATCTAGTTCACCGTTAACCTCCAACGATCATGTGACACCAAGAGATCCTTACGAATTTGATCAGACAACAAATAAAGATGTCCTGTTATCATCATCACTGGTCGATAGATTACCAACATCCATTGACGAATTCACCTCTTCCTCCTCGTCGTCATCCTCATCACCATCTGGTCCGCGTCGATTACCATTCATGCCAACATCACCCATCGATGACTTCACTACATCATCTATAATACCAAATGAAGAAGAGACAATTCGTTTACAATTTGCATTAGCCTTACAAATCGATGCAGAATTGAATAAAGCAGTTGAATTGAAAAATGCCGCCAATGAATCCATTGAACAAGCGAATTTATTCAATAAAGCCGCTAGTGAAGCTGAGCATCGTGCACAAATTGCTGGACACATGTTGAATTCATTGAAACAATTGTTACGTAATAAAAATATCATTGATCAGCATTCTATGAAGATGAATGATGAGAAAGTGATGAAGAAACGTGAACTGATCAAAGTACCAATTATAAATTATGATTATTTACTTGATGAAACTATTGGCAACCGAATCAATACTGATGATGATCGTGATGAACGAAGACATCGTACACAACAATCAGATCATCATGACGGTGAACGTACTCATCATAGACAGAAACGATCCAATCATTTCATGATACCGGAATTATTGAACAAAGAATTACACATGAAACATTTATATGATTATGCTGATGATAATCAACCTATCGGTGCTGATGACGACGAGGCTACTGACGCCGATGTCGATGAAGATAGGAATATTCAAAAATTAAGTAAAACGGAACAATTAACTTTAGAAAAATTACGTTTATTAATTTTACGACAATTGATAAAACAACAAAGACAAGCAGAATATGAACGAAATGAAGAACAATCCGCCATTCCTTCTCACCATCCTCAACCTCTCCGTCATCATCTACGTGATAACGATGCAGATGAAAGTCAATATGATCATCCATGGATCGATAAACCTTTGTATGACCAATTACAAACTTTCAGAGAATTACACAGACAACATACTGATGATGACGTCGATGACGTCGAAGGTGAGGACGGTGACCGTGATATTATTTATAATGATGATGAAGAAGATGAAATCAATAATGAATTGGAAAAGAGTACTCATGGAATAAAACATTATTTAACCAAAAAAGCACCTTATTTCGATGGATTAGCTGATGAAGATTCTATCGTATTTAAATGAATTTATCGCAAAACAGATTAACTCTCTCTCTTTATATATAGAAAGAATGGAGAGAAAAATAAAAGTACACTGATATCATGTTTTACTTATGATTTATGCCAACAAAAATATTGAAATTATTTGAATATTTGAAAAAATAAAAAATAAAAAAATTATTTACACTTGCTAGTGTTTATAATTATAATGTTTAATGATAATTTATGATTGTAAATGATATAGAGTCCGATGGTTAGGCGTTCGCGCACAATATTGGAGGTCCTGGGTTCGAATCCTGCCAGGTGCATGAGTTGTGGATGCACATAGCCACTGATGAGTAGTCCCATATCAGGATGAAACGGCTGTTTTTCAGTGCATCCAGGTTTTAATGTTGGTAGTCTAACAATGATTGATTGATTGATTGAATAGTGATTTCAAATGTGTAAAAACACAACTCTCCAAAGCTGCAACTGAAGATTTAGGGAAAGTCGATGTTGTTGAGATTTGACTGTAAGTAGAGAGGGTCAAAAGTGGGTTTTTTTTCTATGATAGTGTTGTAAATTCATTGAAAGGTTGGTATTCAAACAACCCTAACATATACATTAGTTTGTATGTAGATATAATTTGTTGGGCATTTCTCGATGATTGGCTATAGCCTGTCATAGAAATGATCTTTGTCATGTTCACTGTTATCGTTGGTAGGCGCATAGCCTTGAATAATATTTATTGTAAGTCTGTGTACGTGAAATTCTTATCCCACAAATGCCTTTCCTGTTTCTGTGTAACTTCCTGTGTCTATATGTAAAATATTTTGTTCTTCATGGTCAGAGTAAAACACTATCTTTTCTGACTCTAATCTCTTTTCATTGCCCAGCTTCCAGTGAATTTCACTTGTTGCAGAAACCACCAATAGTTCTCTCAGTCTGCCTCATTTCCTATACTTATTCTAATTTGTTGCTTTAGTTGTCAGAAGGAGCATCTATCTTGTGACTTTCAACAAAACTTGGCTTTCAACACGAGGCATCATAACTCTTCGAAATGAAGACTTTCCAACTTCCAGAGAACAGTTTGAATTGTTTGAATCATTTGTTCTAGTTAGCGTTATCTAAGAGAGTTAGCTTTTTTACGCAACAGGGTCATTAACCCCATATCCAACCGTCCTCTTTTATCCGGAGTCGGGATTGGCAGTAACCCAAGAACAAAGTCAGTAATTAGATTCTCAAACTGTTGATTTATGTAACGAAAGCCTTCATCTGTTATTATTCCCAGATATATATATTCAAAAATGCATTAATTCCTAGTCAGAAAGTTCGTGTTACTGTAAAAAAATTTCCGGTTAGTTCAACTCAGCTTAATTCAATCTCATGTTTGAACACTAGTTGCAATTAATTTGAAGGCCGGTGTTGGTAAGCAACATAGTGTCATTCTATTTCTAATCACTGAATATAACATTCTCTAAATCTAAGAAAGTATTATATTACAAAGTTAGGTCAAATTGTCATACGTTTCTGCTAGATATTGAAATTATTCAAATATTTACTACGTTTATTAGTATGATTGTCAATGATAAATGAGGTGTAGGTGTTTAGATTGAAATTTAAACAAAAGTTCAATAAAAAAGGTGCTTATTTCTGACAGGGTTATAAATTCATATACGTTGGTTTGTAGGTAGGCATAATTTTGCTGAGCATTTCTTGACAGCAGACTACAGTCTGTGGATTGAATTGAACTTGAGTTAGCGGACGGTTTAATTTATTTTGTGAATTCCAGTACATTTAAAAATTCATCATACACACAGTTCCAGTTTTAATTTTGAGTTGTTATGCTCGTCACTTGATATGCTTGAAACTATTGCGCGTTCACCTTAGTCGATAAACGAGAACGAGACAATGAACCAGTGACACGGTAGGCTACTCAGATCCATTGCCCCGAAGGAATTGACGAAAAGTCTTGATATAGCGTAGAAAGTGTATTCAACAAACAACCCAGCAAACACAATGATCTCAAGCACACAAATCGTGTCTATTTATACATCATAGAAACGTCCATGGGGGAGTCACAAAAATAGCACACTAAAATAACATAGCAACCAATCACAACCACGGATTTTCCTAGTGGGGAATGTGATCTCAAGGTTAGCTGATCAGCCCACGAATAAAATCTAAAATCAAAACCTTTATCAAGAGAATTCCGGGGATCTAACCGCCCCAACATGAGGCTTAAGAAACACAGAATGCATGGTTAGACAAAAAGCCTCAAGAAACCACATGTTACGGGTAGAATCAATGTATGACTAAAATCTTTGTTAATGAGAACAGATTCTGATTGATTGTTTTGCCGAAAAACAACATTTTCTTTGAAACAATCAAAGGTTTACAACAGATATCACTTTTATGTTACTGCCAACTGTGTGTACAAAGTCACTGCCAAGACAATTACATTGGTAGAACAGAAAGAAGGACCAACGTCTGATTCAGAGAACATATTCCACAGAATCTAAGGTCAGGTGAAGTAAAAGCATTCAGCAGTGCGATCTGGCGATATCGAGCGAATACAGTGAAGTTTTTCAAAGGGATTAATAAGCATCAAGGGTTCCCATCTTCTGATATCCGCCAACGCTTGGATATCGAATATCTGAAACAGTATTATATCTCTTAAATTGACTCAGGATCTGACTCTAATTTGGACGGACGTTTGAACATACTATTAAATAAATCTACCCTTGAATTTTCATATATATAACTCGTTGTCGAACCCCGTTTGTACGACGACAGTTTTGAGGATGAATTTAGTTCATATATTCGGTAAACTAACAGACATAAGAATGGGAAATATAAAACAGGCGGTGCAAAGTTAAATAGAGAAGGGGAGTTGGCGGATTTCATGTAATGACGCATGACTAAGTGCTCATACTTAGATAAGAATTAGCTAGACATGTGATGAGTGTGGTAAGCGATGCGTATACGTACTCCAGTAAAAACAACCGTGATTATAATTGAATCATGTGTTGCGTATGCCTAACCACCGGATGCCTCGACGAGCTATATTTTGCGGTGTAGGAATAGTTTGGAAGAAAGTTATAGGCGGCCAGATCAAAACATGGCAGCGATCCATGAATTCACTGACAAGTGGACTAAGTCATGTCGGTAGGTGTCGACTACCTGGTTGGAGCCCGCGAGATGTTAGTAATCGATGGTTAGAGACCGTGAATAACATGGCTCAAAACCGTTTGCAATGGCGCCGGTGCACTCATTCTTTTTTCTCGCTAGAATCCTAAACTTTTTTAATTCTTCGTCAGTTTATCTTTATCTTCTTAAGTCTATTTCACTAGATTCTACTTCTTGGATAATATCTTCTTATCCTAAACTCTCCGATTACTTCTAATACCTTTACTACCTCTACTACTATTGGATTTGAATTGGCAATTACATCTCTGTGCTAATGTGGTATGGCAACTTGAACTGACGTACCTACATACGAAGTTCTACGTTGCTATTGATTTTTAGATTGAGTGATTGATAAGTGAATCATTTACAAGCACGAAATACGTGTGAATAATAACTGGAGATGAATAGATGAATTATTTTTGTTCAAGGTTTGGTACAAGTCATATGGTCTGGACATATTTTAGTACACACTTCACTGTTCTTATCCTAGTAACATCACATCCACTCCATTTCACATCAGCCTTTTATCAACTCTTTGTTATACTTCGATTACATCATTTTCATTTCAAGTTTGTTCACTCCTTATTTTCTAATCACGAATTTCAAAATTCTGGAACTTTCCGTCTCACCTTTTTTACAAAAATGTAGTATGATTTTTTAAAACCTTATCAACATCATTGACAATCAAGGTGAATCCAATGCGGATGTGAGGGTGCTGGTCGGCAAAGGAAGGACAGCATTCCTACAATTAAAGAAGGTCTTGAAATCGAAACAACTATCTATCAACACGAAAGTCGCAACTTTCAATACAAATGTCAAGACAGTTCTACCCTTTGACGTGAAAACATGGAGAACTACCAAAGCCATTATCCAGAAGATACAAGTGTTTATTAACAGTTGTCTACACAAAATACTTCGGGTTCGCTGGCCAAACACCATCAGCAACAATCTACTGTAGGAGAGAACAAACCAGATTACAGTGGAGGAGGCAATGAGGAAGAAGCGGTGGAAGTGGATAGTACACACACTACGAAAAGCACCCAACAGCGTCACAAGACATGCCCTCACTTGGAACCCTCAAGGCAAAAGGAAAAGAAGAAGGCCAAGGAACACCATTACGCCGAGAAATAGAGAAGGACATCAGAAGAATGAACCGGAAAGGGAGGCCCTGGACAAAGTAGGTTGGAGAACACTGATCGGCGACCTATGTTCCATTTCGGGGTGACAAGCGTAAGTAAGTAAATAAGTGCTTGATTATAAAACATCTCTAAATCACAATACACATATCTTTCACTAATCACCTATGCATTTATAGGTCAATTTCTACCGAAATTTCAAATTTTAAGCCACTACTGAAGTCAGTCGAACGAAATAAAATGAACTCATAATATTAAACATAGATTTTAAGTCTCTTTAAAATTTATCCGTTTCGAAATTCAATATCATCATTACAATAACAAAAATAATTAATTTTTAAATAATGTAGATTTTTACAAACACACACACTTTTATGAATCACTTTATTTAAATTAAATTAAATTAAATGACTTTCTTTCTCTCCTCTTCTTCTTTTTTTTCTCGATTCTTCAACTTTGTAATTCAATTCAAATTGAACATTGAATACAACAATTCGCATTCGTATTTTCAAATAAATAAAATTAAAAACAGAAAGAGAGTGAGAGAGAGATCGGTGAAATTTAATGATGCACGAATTTTACAATATTTTAAGCATAACTAATGAGTGAATAAGAGATTTGTTCTGGTTTTTTGTATTTCTTTTGATTTAAGTGTTAAAAAATGAATTTAATTTCTATGATTTATATACTTTTTTTGAAAAAAAATCTTTTAAAACGAATAAAAATTGTACGTATTTTAGAAAATAAATTTGTGTATATAAATAAATAAATATGTTATGTATATGCATTCTTCTCATTATCATTGTGGTGCGAGCTACTTATAAGTAGTATATGACGCGAGTAAAAACGTAATGTCTGGCAGCAGAAGATGGG